TCAGTGAGTCTTGCTAGTAATGGCAACACACTACAACTCGTCAAATTGACATATAAAGCCAATCCTTTGACCAATTGTCTACTGAACAATCGTGGAATCTCTCCTTCCAGCCTGGAATAATCACAAATCCTATATCCTCGTAATGTAATGTAGTGTGCACTTTTGAGCGGCTTTCATGAGAACCCTTCACACTCCATGCTGGCCTTCTCACCCCTCATCATCCTTGTGCTGAGAATGTTGATCAGTATTTTTGTTTGTTGCGCAGTCCTCCCTCTTGCCCCGTTGGATCCGTCTGCTATCTCCCTGGTTCAACTATTTCACTCAACCCTTACCACCCCATCTGTGCTACTCGAGGCGTTATTTCCCACACACTGTCTCTGGGAGACTAACTTGAGGTTAAAGTACCAACGTAATTCTCATGGTCAAACCTTTGCTACATGGACCACGTCTCTGATAAAACCAACTGTCAACCAACTAACTCCATTCTCCACCGCCACTATCCTGTTTCTATACCTAATGCAAAATCTATGACTTGCTATTCCCTATTCTCTTGTGTGCCAACCCACAAATGTTGTAGTACCGCTTGCTTTAATTAGTTTCAATGTTAAACCACAACGTTTGTGGGTTGGCACATGTCTGGAAATGTACCACGTCCACGGTCCATCTCTGGAAATGATGATGCATACAATGGACTCCGGACTAGGTGCGTTCCTCTAAGTCTTCCTGCCAACATGACCAAATTACGAAAACAAGGTCAAACAACTTCTATACAACGAAGTACAGATGAGCTGCGAAGGTTTCCAGCTAGCCTCAACAAGGCACATAAAATGCAGATGTTAGATGGGTTTTAATAGATCTCTTGAGATAACCTTGTTGTCGAGATTGCAATTTCGCATGAAAGGGCAGTATGAAGAGATTCGTTAGTTGATTTCACCAGAACCGGCGACTGATTCCTTCTTCTTCTCAAGCTGTTTCGCTTTAATACGGATTTAGTCCACGTAGAATCCTTCCTCGTTTCGTCTTCTTGACTTTGTGTCCTCTTGCATTTTTGCAGAAAATAGTTCCAGCTCTGATGATGTCCGTCATGGGACGAAAGAAAGCTTGGCCCGGTTTTACCAAACGTGAAGCTGTTCAGTTATAATATCACATTTAATTTGATGTAATCTATAAGATATTCTGTCTCATATCACGTGAATCCGAGTCAAGATTCTGTTTATCACTTAGCACGCATCATCATCAGAGCTGAAACTAAAAGTTTCAAGTTAACATTAAATCAAGAAGACGAAACGAAGGAGAATGTCTCCTAGACAGAGTCAAATTAAACGTCGTATTAAAGCCCAACGGATGCAGAACAACAAAAATTAGCCGTTTTCCGGTTGAATCAACCAAAGAACCTTTTCCTCATGTACTTTCATATCAAATAAAAATCTCCACAATAGGGAACATAAGAAGCTGATGCCATTTGCAAATGCCTAGAAGAGAGCGAAATCTCCATCAGACAATTGGAACTTATCAGGGAAAGGTTCTGCAATTTTATGTTTCGTATAAATTGATGGTATTACCGTTTCGCTTTAGCTAGAGACAGTTCAAGCATAATGCGCGAGGCTTACTAAATTTAACACAAGAATTTGTTCAAAATGTTTAATTTAAATATTTGTAGAAGAGAAACTGAATTTCAAAGAAAATTATGAGACATTTTTGTAGTTGTATCATTGAGTTGGCTTGAAAATAACTTCGATTGGTCCTTACCTTATATCAAAAGAGGATTTTTTTCGAGTTGTGAGCATAGCTTCTCACAGTGTTTTGGTGTCGCGAATCTGAAAAGTTTTACAAACTGTGTAGTCGAATAAAATGAAAGATACAACAATGGAAATTCATTACGAGCTTCTTTGAAACCCACTGTCTCGTCAAATAAAATAGCGCTAGGACATTTTGAACATATCCTCGTGCTTATATTTATTATAGACTTTGTATTAACTTTAGCACATCTCTTCCTCAGGCATAACTATGTGAAGATCAATTTGTGCAAATGATGCGAATATATAAATTTGATAAATATCAAACTTCCCTTTTTTTCTATGCATTTAACTCCCGTACCAACATTTTATATTTTCTGCTCAGGCTTATTCGAAACTTTCGCGGCTCAGCTGCACTTCATTTCTTGCCATTTGCTCGTTGTCTTATACTCTTTAATTATCACATTATTATTAGCTCATATTAAATACATAATAAGACAATATTATTATTGGTATATCTGTTCTCTTTTGGCGAAGGGATAATTGCAGTGTCGCCAATAAATGTGGCTAAAAGGGGGGAGAGGGCGGACGACATCGTCTGTCTTTTGACCTCATGCTCTTCGCTGATCCAACTCGGGACACACTCGTTCGTGGGCGGAGTAAGCAGCCAGACCTACAGACACCATCCTGTCGCTCGCGGCACAGCTGAAGCGAGATTATCTCTCGACCGGATGCCATGCCGAAGAAGAGATGCGTGGCTACATGTATGAATGTTTGTATGTATTTATATGTGTGTGTGTATTTTGAGGACTAAACTAATGGCAAAAGCGATCCGGCGGAGTAACTGGAAAATCGGGAAGGTGAAGGGTTCCGTAAATTCGGCTGCCCAGAGGCTCTTCTGTCCCCGACGTGGCGTGAGGAGGTGGGGTAGGAGCAGGCCGGAGTGCCCCAGTTACGAAGTGAGTCGGTTCAGATCGGCTAAGGGGAGGTGAGCAATGTGGGTGGAGTATTGTCAACGCGGACATGTTCGAGACCAAGAGAGAGCGAATACGAAGGTCGGTCCTTTGGTCGTCGAAAGAGTATGTATGCGTGTGATTCCATTATGATCGGTCCTGCTAGCGGGTACCTCAGGGGTGCATACAACGAGCAAATAGCTCAGACGTTTCGGATCGTACCGTAATTGGAGCGGACGACAAAAAGACGGCTCGCTTCAGTCCGAGAGTGTCGGCTGGGGCCGTAATTGCCCAGTCCTGACGGCGACAAGAGGCGAAGGCGAGGGCGAAGTCGAGGGCGTAATCACAGACCTTAATGGCCAAAGGCCTCTAATTAACTGACACGCGAAAAGACATAATAAACGAGGTCCGAATGTCGCCAGACTCGAAACAAGTTCATATGAAGGAACGATAGCCCGACTGCCCGACTGAACAATTAAACGACAGCACGACAGTGTGACTACCCGTCTGACCAACTTCATGTCTGCCCGACTACCGGACTAAACAAGTGAACAATGCACGACTTCGTGACTGCCCGTCTGACCGACTTCAGGCCTGCCCGACTGTCCAATTTCATGTCAGACCGTAGGACCAACTTCAAGTCTGCTCGACAGCCCGACTAAACAATTGAACGACCGAGGGACTGCCTGGCTGTCCAACTTCATGTCTGCCCGACTGCTCTACTAAACAATTAAACAATGGCCCAAATAACTGACTGAATAATTGAACGATTGCCCGACTGCTTGACTAAACATTTGAGCGATAGCGCGATTTCTTGACTGTCCCACTGCCCGACCAAATCCCTAGTTAGGTCTATGGATGAATATTTTTCAATTTGGTAGCATCGTAAGGTTATAA